CCTGCGCTTTGGGCAAAGCTTCCCTGATTGCCCGGCAGAAGCAATAATATGCATGCCACACATTCTCAGAAAATTCACATTGTGCAAGGAGTGGAAATCACAGTCTTTGGGTCCTGCTTAGATTCAAAGATTACTGCATGGTCCCCAGCTGCAACGTGAATTGAGCTCCTCCTCCGGTAGTCACCACACAGCACTGTTCCCAGGCACACCAATCTCATGGCACATGTGCAAATCACTTTTATTGGTGCACATCCCTGAGAAGTGAGACAGACCCTCTCATTATTTTTTTAAGTATTGCTTCCCATACCTGGAACTAGGTGCCTGATGGTCACTGAGGTCAAATCTGATGAGTGAGGACACTGTGAGGCAGATCAAGGCCATAGTTTCAGCTAAAGATGTGTGCAATAAAGCTTTAAAAGACTGTGAGAATAGAGTGACAGGTCCATTTTTCCAGGGTATCTCTGGAACCCCTTACCCAAATGACCCCAAATTTGGCACCAATAACTCAAAACCAATCCCCAATAAGGCATGCCAGTTTTCAAAACAAATGGAATATACATGTGGATTTTAGAGCACTTTGAAACACTGGCTCTTAACATGACAGCTTGGGTCAAACCTTAACTTTGGAGACACTAACACTCTTATATCATAAGCGTCTAATCCTTTTATGCATGTATGCTAAGCTATTTTGACTCAATAAGATCATGTGTAAGTTCCACTTGTTAATTATATATTGTATAAAAAACTGTTTGCTCCAATTTTGTTGGATTTTAATTCCATTGTGCTTCTTTTACTCTGGTACCATTAGATATGGTAAAGAACAGCATTCAAATGGCCTCCTCTGGTCCAGGTCACTATTTTATGTAGCTGCTACTTTTCATGCTGCGTCTCTTCCTTTCTTTCCCCTTTCTGAGAGAGCTGGTGTGGTAACCTTGCCCAGAACCCTTAAAGACAGATGTTCACGGCAGCCTGTGATCCCATGAATATCCTTTATTAACATTATTATATTTATAAACATAATAGACTTGGGAGCTTAATATACATAGTAATAGATAAGGAGTACTTGTGGCGCCTTAGAGACGAACCAATTTATTTGAGCATAAGCTTTCGTGAGCTACAGCTCAGCTGTAGCTCACGAAAGCTTATGCTCAAATAAATTGGTTCGTCTCTAAGGCGCCACAAGTCCTCCTTTTCTTTTTGCGAATACAGTCTAACACGGCTGTTACTCTGAAACCTGTCATAGTAATAGATGAGGTTGGCTGTGTTAATTGTATGGCTCCATCCTGCTTTGTGTCTCAGTCAGTAGCTTCCCTTGGTTTCCAAGCAGGGTGTATCAAATACCAATTATGTGACCATTTGAAAGGAAGTGTCACTGGTAACTGAGTCCCCAGGGCTGTATGCAGGAAATGGCAGCAATCTGACAATGGCAACCTCATCCTTTCAGTGTGTGTGTCTCTCTCCCCATCAAAGGGCCTAATCCTGCACCACTGAAGTCAGTGGGAATTCAGGGGTGCAGAATTGGAGTGAATGGCCTTAACAGAGAAGATGGAGCCTTGATGACTAAGTGTCTCTGCTGACTGAGGGCCCTGAGCACAAAGGCTCCTGGAAATGAACGATTGCTCCTCGCATTAGCTTCATAGGGTTTTGGGTGAGGTCTCAACAGACAGACTTTTTTCTATGTATCATATCGCTCCTGACATTTGAGCTGTCAGGTGGACTGTGGTGAATAGAGGAATAGGCAATGGATGAGCATCATTGAAATGCCACCAGCTTTAAAAAACTTCAGTAAAATTGCAATTCACAGTTCTTGTCTTTAAACTCAGCCTGTAACTCAGGTCCCCATGCTGAACTCTCTCTAGAAAGCATATCATTGCACTGTTTTATTGTGAGCAGGGCAGCGCAGGGAGGCAGGTTGGGAAAGAAGGTAAAAAGCTGAAAAACATTGCTGCAACAGGCTGTTTTCTTAAGTTCCTGCATCTAACCAACCTTACCCTGAAATTTTCTTCACCCCCTTGGCTCTGGGATTTATGACAAGCTGCAGTAACCTCAGACATGCAAGGACACGTGCACTCTGGTTAATAAGTTCCACATTACCGGTGGAAAAGAATGCTTCAGCCATGCACATGCTGGAAGTTTGTCAAACATCAGCAGGACAGACAACTGCATGTGCTAGTTTTAGGACTCAGTCCTTCTCCCATAGTAAATTCTCCAGACTTCTCTGGGAGCAGGAACAGGATCAAGATTGGATTTTTTTAAAAAGATCTGCTCTAATCACAATGGTTCCTTCTGACTTTAGAATTACGAATGAGGCCCCTGATGAACAAAGTTGTTTGCTGCCCCATCCCTCCCATGGCATTTCTATCCTCTGTATTCATGCAGCAAGTACAGTATGGGCAGTGGCAGCAGAAACTTCCCCAGGGGGCAGGGGGCAATAGCAATAGCTCAGTTGTTTGGGCATTGGCCTGCTAAACTCAGGGTTGTGAGTTCAATCCTTGAGGGGGCCATTTAGGGATCTGGGGCAAAAATTGGTGATTAGTCTTGCTTTGAGCAGGGGGTTGGACTAGATGACCTCCTGAGGTCCCTTCCAACCCTGATATTCTATGAATACCCCCAGCCAATATGGCTCAGCCCTGACTGTGAGACATCTCTGTGGGTGAGAGCGGGGTCCTATCTTCATGCTCCCCTTCAGAACTTGGTCCCTCTATTCAGGCTGCCAACATATGAGCCAATTAGTGCCAACCATAATGGTGTTTTTCGTGCTGTGAACTCTGCTCCAAGATGTGGACTAAGTCCCAGGAACCTAGTGTCATACAGGGCATGGAACACCAGACCTTGTCTGTTTCATTATTTCCACTAAGAAATAATTGCTATGTGCAAAAAGTGTCATGTGAGTGATTTTCTTAACTCCCCTCTGGGTAAGTGTAAGAAACAAGCCTGAGATGATGCAGACTATATGTTACTTTTCTGATGAGGGGAGTCATATTTCCGATGGCCAGTCAGAGTCTCTTTAGTGGTCACATATGTTTATTAATTCAATAAGTTTAAAATGTATTACAACTGAAAACGGGGGAACCTCCAAACGTGGAGGTTTAGTTCAATAAGTGTCTGATTCTTCACATACAATGAGCCAAATGTCCTTTCAGTCATGTGACTTATTTTAGATTAAGGAAAACAACATCAGGAAAGAACAGTATGTGCATCTCCTTTGCTACAGATTGTGAATAAACTGTGGCTACTGACAAGCAGAGTTCCCAAGTATAAAGGTGCAGAGTGCACAGGAAACAGCCATGGTAGTTTGAAGTGATACAGACCACAGAAGTCTTCTCATACTATGTTTGGCCTTCTGCAGGTTCAACATTATGGTGATAGATGTTAGAAAAAAATCCTAAAATAGTTTCTTTCAGCTTTTACTTCTGGAAGAAACCAGGATGGGCACAGAGGTAGCAAGATTGTGGAAGATATCAGAAATATTTGTCACCAGAAATGATTTTGAGTTAATTTCAGTTCATTTGATGTAATGCTTGGGATGTTTTCTTATTTTTTCCAGCACAGTTGGCCCATCCCTTGATACAGTCTGCCAACCCTACCTTGGCCCTACCTCCATCTCTGCTTGCCTGCATTGAAACACCCACTCTCCAAAACTTCTCCTTGAGTTGCCCCTTTGTCTCCCTCCCCTTCTTTCAGCTCTATGCTGGCTCTTATACTCCCCCACTTTGTCCATGCTTCTCCCTCTCCTTCAGATCCCTCCTGCAAAGCCTTTTAAGCATGATCACTGCAAAATCCATGCACCTCAGTGAGCATGGTGCATATGTGTGTGCACGTGCTGTGATGGCTGTGTCTGAGATAGTCTTTACAGCACAATGCCTGTCTTGTTAGGTTTCTGTTGCTCTAGACCACCAGTTGGCGCTCAGTAAATAATAATAGTTGAGAGAAGACACTGCAGGGGACCCTCTCACTGATGGGGAAGGAGAGACTTTGGGAACAGACAGTAGTGCCTTCTAATAGCTCTGCCCAGATTTCCCCAGCTCCTGCAGAGTGGCTCATTCTCTGCAGTGTCTGGGAGACAGGTTACTAATCTGCCAGCTTGCTCTCTGGCTGTAGTGATTCAGTTCTGCAAGTCTCCAGAGTTCAAAAGTTGTGAGTTGGGCCTCCAAAATTTCAAAATAAACATGTTGGGTTATTTTATTTGCCTTCTAGAGGTTGAACCTTTAGGGGCTCGTGTTTTCAAGCTTCGCTTGTGCAGTCATGACCAATATAAAGTTACTTCTCACACACACACACACACACAAAGCAGCAGGGGGCAGAGGCCAGGTAATCACCTAACTCCAGAAGCTGAGCTTTCAGAAAACAGCAACCACCGTGAGACTTGCCAGGCCTGGGAAGCACAGCTGCCTGCTCAGAGCTAGGTCCTGACCTCTGAGTGTCCCACTGGTCCCGTGGGACACCCTGCGCAACCAGGAGCTGAGCACTACCTCAATCCTGCTGTTGGGAGGGGCTCAAACTGGTGCCCCCTAAATGACACTTAGGGGTGGCTGCCACTGGACGAGGGCCAGAGTCGGGGCTCATCTCTGGTGCCTTTCGCCGGGGCACCAGAATGATTCTGGATGTGCCCCGGCCCCGCTGGGTGAGCGCCCCTCCGCAGCCCGCTCCCCGCAGATCCTTGGGGGATGTTGCACCAGAGCCGCGCCTGCCTTGCACAACGTGGATGCGGAGTACGAGCTCTCCCACGCGGGCGGGGGCCACCTCGGCTCAGCCCCCTCCACGGAGCCAGTGCGAGCTGCGGCGAGGGGGCTGCTGCGGAGCGAGCCCCCCCAGCCCCGGCCGGGCAGGTGGGAAGCTGGCCCGGCCTGGTCCGGTCCGGCCCGGCCCGAGCGTTCTCTGCGGATGCAGCTCGCTCGACTTCAATTGCAAACTTTCCTGGCTCGATTGCCATTGGCTGCGGCCCGGCCAATCACGAGCGCCCTTCGCAAACAATGCAACTTTTTTCCGTGCCCCGCTCGGAGCCCGGCTCCTGCGCTCAGGCTGTTTCGGGGCGAGCCCCTCCCGGAGCTGTCTCTGCGCCTGGCACGGGCTGGGGAGGCCGCCGCAGGTGTATCGGCCACGGAAAGCCCGGAGCGGAGCGGAGCCGGGGCGCGGGGCTCGGAGCGCACGGGGATGGGCGGCGCTCAGCTTCTCGCTGGTTCCTGAGCGCTGCCGCGGGCCGCCTGAGCGGCGGGGCTGAGATCATGGCACCGAGGGAAGCCCCTTCGCCCTGCCCCTCCTCCAGCTGAAGGAGCAGCCGGCAGGAAGCAGCTGCCTGGATGCGAGAGCGGCCGAGCCCGGCTCTGACGCCCACTGCCTTGGCTGGAGATGGCTGAGTTGCCCCTCTGCCCCCGCTGACCCCCGGCCTGGGCTCCGGCAGCAGGCTCCATGCCAGGGCTACATCAGATGCTCAACACCATTTACGAGTCGGATTCTGTTTTCTCCCCAGATGGAATTAAAGGAGGAGAAGCGAGTGTGAGCTTGGCCCAAGGAAGCGGCGCCTCCAGCCAGAGTAAGTGATCCCCGCCTGTCCCTCGGGCCGGGCCGGGTGCAGAGAACCCGTGGGGCACTAGCATGGGTCGGAGCTCGCTGCGCCAGCAGAGCAGGGGGGGCTGCGCCCAGGCTTGGGATACAGAGAAAAGGGAAATGAGAAAGGAGATTGAGCTATTTTTGCATCTCCCCACATGACTAGGCCCTGCGACATGCAATGGACTTAGTCAACCAGCCGCAGGGATTTCCTCTCCACGCCCCCTTTCCCCGCCCCGGCTTGAGAGGGAGGCCTTAAGCAGCTGAGCGGTGGGATTCCCTGGGTCCCATGTTCAGAGACGGGGTGGCTGGGTGTTCGTGGAAGTGGGGCAAGGTTTCTCTTCCCAAGAGCAGTCTGTCTGGTTGGGGTGTGTACCCTGCCATGACTCTCAGGGCTGCTGGTGTAATGGAGAGAGCCCAGTGCCTTAGATGGACAGTAGGCAAGTGATGGTTCCCCCTAGGGAAGATGAGTCCTACTTTGTCTGCACAGAGCAGGAGTTCTCGAAGCCAGGGCATCAGGAGGTCCCTTCACAGGTGGCTGTTGAGGGAGGCGCAGGCATCAAGTCTCTGCAAAGCAAAACATTGTAGGGTAATTTGAGGAACCCAGTCTAAGGCAAGCAGGATGTTTAACCCATCTGGAAATGAAGGAACAGGTCTTGTGGAGATTAGTTAGCTCTGCGTATGTCCTCCAGAGTCCTAACATCATAGCCTGTCTTCCTCAGATGAAGTTGGTCAGTATCTGATGCAGGATACTGCAGAATCATCCAGTCCCATCCTGCATGATGCTAGTGTGAGTTTAAGTCTGGGGGTCTTGTTGTTCTGAGATACACAGTGTGCGGTGAGTGTCATGTCCACTCTCTGGTTCTGTGGTAGACTGTGCACTGCCATCTTGGTGTCAGATAAGTGCTGGGGATTGTGTGTGTGATGGCATCTCATGGTGTTTAAAACAAGACTCTTATGCCATTAACAGGAGGGTGGTGTTTGTACCCCTGGCAGGAAACTGCATTGGACATAGATGTAAGGGAATGTCCAGGTTAAGGAGTATCCAAGTGAGCCCAGTGCATCTCTGTCACCCTCCTGGATATGCTGGACCTAGAGAGTGGATAACGCCAAGGCTTGTTTATGCAGGACACTCAGGAAAGTTAAGACAAAGTAAGCTTGGAATCAAGAGTGGATGTTAAAGATCTGCTCTAGGAATTATTTTGGGGAAGTTCTATGGCCTGGGTTATCCAGGAGGTGAGACTAGAGATCACAATGGGCCCTTCTGCCCTTAGAATCTATGAACCTATAAGCTGTGATGTTAATGTGAATTAACCCCCTGGCTAATGCTGCAGTGAACTAAGGCCACTTCTGAATGAGAACATCCACATAGGAATTAATGTGTTTTAACTTCACAGCTTTGGTTAATTCATTTTAACTTTCCTGAGTGTCCCCATGTAGCCAAGCCCTAAGGCAGTTCACTAACTACACAAATATTGCCAACCCAAGTATTCAAAAAACATGACTAAGGGCCCCCCCAAATCAAGAGTACCTTAAAAATCATTATTTTAAAAAATAATAAATTTGGGTCTCTTTATTAGCTGTCTGGGTTTTTTTTAGCCTCCAGGAATCATATTTTCAATATTTCGATAACAACCATGAGGGCTAGAAACTTACACTTTTTTTTTTTTAAATGAAAGCTGATATTCTCATGTAATTATTTGACTGCCGGAGCTGGAGCTTTAAGGAGAAACATGAGCTCACGAAAGCTTATGTTCAAATAGATTTGTTAGTCTCTAAGGTGCCACAAGTCCTCCTTTTCTTCATGAGCTATCATGCGACTCACAATAAAATTGCAAGAGTTGGCCACGCTGCAAAGTTGTATGTTACCTTCCTTGGACGTTTTGGCTGAGATGCCACTGTGATATTTTGTATAAAAAGGGACATGAGCAGTATATAGTACCTCAAAGCCTCCATAAGTGGCCATTTGTAGCCATGTTTGAGTCTTGTTGAGGTACCAGGCTGGGCCCATATGGGTGTTCGGAGCTGACTAGTGGGCAATATTGGTGGTACCCTTACCATAGGAGGTGTGTTTGGCTCTGTCTTGGGAACTGAAACGTCACTGTAGTGCCCTGGGCATCCAGACCTTGCTCTGCTTGACACTGTTGATGTTCCAGAAAAACTGAGCTTCCAGCACTTCCCACGTTAGCATGGCTTTAGTGTGTAGAAAGGGGGATTTGGATAGATACTCTGCCCAGCCCTGTAACTAGGCTATATTCAGGGACTTCTACAGAAGTGGTGATGCTGTGCCATCTGGGCGAGGTTTGGCTCAGGTGTGTGTGTGCTGGGCAAGAATAGGGGCCACTTTATTTAGAGATCTAAATCTGCCCAGTGTGCTTGGAGCAGAGGAAGGAAGGGACTAGAGCTTGCACTAGGCACCCCTGGGCATCAGTGTAATGTGTTACTGTTAAGAACTCTCACCTTAGCACATGCAGCATCTTCTCTGAGACCTGAAACCCCAATGACATGTGCTGAAGTCAGAGGCACTGGCTGCATGGGAAGGAAAGGGCATCATCCTAAGAGGGAGCAGTGCTTCTTCGGACCTCCCACCCAGTCACCAATCTGGGGATTTAGAAATATCTGAAATTAACATCACTGCATGTGTGCCCTTCTCTGAGTTTGGGAGAACCAGAGACACTGCCGGCCCAAGCACCTGGGGTATGTAGCAGCACTAGGCAACTGAACATACTATAGGTAGATTTCCTCTTGACCGACCTACTGTATAAAGGGTGCAGTGACTGCCCTTCAGGTGTGCTTTCCCTCTAGTCCCAGCTGTGTACTTTATTTCTGGGCCTGGGCAGGGAAGGGTGGGGCTCAAGTTCTGTGGAGATAAAAATGTGATGCTTATGACCAGATGTGTGCAGAGCTCTTCGGCCTGGAAACCACAGGCTTTCTTGGAAGATTTCCAGTACTTCCTGATTTGGGCTGAGCCACTCCTGGGATTTCAGCATTTCCTATTCAGCTGCCTGATGTGAGTAGGAAGCAAGAGAGTGAAAACAAAACAGCAGTCAGATAGTTTGCATGTCAGAAAAAGTTTGGGGCTTTGGTTTGAATCTGAGGAAAGGGGTCAGGGCAGTTTAGATCTTATCAGCAGAGATTTCTGACCTTGTTAATATCTCCTGTTGGTTAATATCTTACAAGCTTCAAATGTGTAAAGGGCACAAAGCCATTCCATGCAGCCACATATTCCTGGCTCTCTTATCCTGGGGTGGGGTGGGGGCCACGCATGTGCATGCGTGTGCACACTCTTTCCACTTGTTTCTTACACCAGCTTGTTGCATCTTGCCTGAATTTAGACTGGAAGCTCTCCAGGGCAGGGACTGTCTCTTATTGTGTGCTTGCACAGTGCCCAGCAGAGTGGAGTCCTGATCTGCTCTGGAGCCTTTCAGTGGTTCTAGAATACAGATACTACATAATAATATCCAAACTAGTATCCAGACCTAGACTTGGTCTGCACTACCAAACTATGTCAGTATAACTATGTCACTCAGGAGTCTGGGACTCAACACCCTGAGTGACACAGTTATACTGACCTAACCCCAAGTGTAGACAGTGTTTTATGTCAGTGACATAGCTGATGCCTTTTGGGGAGGTGGAGTACTTACGCTTGGTATGCTGCATAGGTAGCATCTTCACTAAGCCCTACAGCAGTGCAGTTGCAATGCTGTAAGTGTAGATAAGCCTTTAGTAATGAGCCTTCTCCGCTCAGATGAGTTTGTGGGTCTGGATTTGCATTTTGCTTTTTGGGAATTCAGATCAGTTTTGTTGCTAGAGCAGAGGCCTCAGTGCTTGGATTTTTGGCTCTCAATTGTATGTTTACATTTCAGAAGGCTTAAAATAAAACCCTAGATTTGTGTCTGATATGGGGAGCTTGGTCTTGTCTCTATCAAGGAGCTGAAGTTGTTCTAGTCAGAGCCATTTGGTGCTGGATGACTCGAGTCCGGTGCTTGTGGTAATGTCTGTGGGGATGTGAATGGCACTGCTAATCGCTTATTGGTTAGTTGGCATGAGTGAAAGGTGGTGTAATTTACACACATGGGGGTGGAGCACAAAGAGCGTCTCACAGGAGAATGTGATCACCATCCCCAAGAATTCACGCATCATGAGTCAGGCTCCAAAAATCATGAGATTTTTTAAAATACTGGAGCCTTTGGGGTGCATGCTCTCAAGCTTTTTCCTCTAGTCAGGAGGGATAGAAACACTTTTTTTTTTTTAAATGAAAGTTGAGATTCCCATGTAACCCCCTGAATCCAGCATGGTGCTTTAGGAGGAACTCCATAACCCATGAGTCTTATGAATAAAATCATCAGTTGGCAGCATTGCAGAGAGTGCAAGATAAAGCAGCTCCGTGCATCTTGTCAGTCTGGTTCCCTCCTGTCGGTTGCCTTCTCTGCTACACCCTCAGCCTCCCGCCACAGTGGAGTGTACATTCCATCAGCTTTCACTCACTCTGTCTCGTAACACACCACCATTTGTATCCCCTTTTCCTGCTGTGCAGGGGGAAGGGAATGTGTCTCCACTCTGATCCGGTGCAGATTGGGCCATGAGGTGAGACATGTTCAGCTTGGTGAGAGCTGGATTTTTGCCCAAACTCTGATGTGAGATGCTGTGCTGATGCTATCCCATCTCGGGGAGCAAGAGCCTGCTCTTGCAGTGGGGTCAGTCTTGGCCACTTAAGACTCTTGTCTCATTTCTAGCTCCTATGATTCCTTTCTGTGCTCCCCTACCTCCCTGATTCTCAGCATCCAGGGTCTGGAATTGTCCTCTTGTCCGAAGACTTGTTTTTCTGATCTGGTTTGTTACCCATTGCTCTTCCCAGCCTGGACAGGCTCCTCTGCCTCTGGCCATGTGTCTGATCTCTGCTCTGAGCTCTGCCACCCCATCACTGTGTAGCGTTCAGTCCACCACCAGCCACCGGGGATAAGAAGGGGAGCCAGCCAGTGCAGA